ATCAGGGATAATCACAGATAGCACTACAGACCATACCCTACCTTCCTCCTGACAAACATTAATAAACCACCACTTGAATACAACAAAGTCTCATTTTTGACTCCATGACGAGGCCTCAATAAGGAAGTTCACAATGACCTAGAGATTGTTGACTGGCCTACAGAATTCTCCAAAGGGCCCAAAGGTATTGATGACTGGACAGACATTTTTCTTAACAAATTACTTAGACTATACAACAAACATTGTCCTATAAAAGAAACAGATCACAAACAAACGGCTTGGTTGCCCATGGCTAACCAGCACCATTTGAAATCCATTGACAAGAAACACCATATGAAAAGCAATATAGACAGGGCTTAATACACAAAGATATTCTTAAAAAACTATTCATCAGTTCTCACCAAAGTAATAAAGAAAGCCAAACAACATACTACTCCAGTAGATTCACAGACACTAGAGGAGATATAAAAAAGACCTGAAAACACTCTCTCAGATTCTAGGGACCCACAAACTGAAAAAAAACCAAGAATATTGTCCTAACTAAACCTAATGAAACACCACTACATCCCACTGACACAGCTAACAAATAAACGACTTTTTCTCAACCATAGGGTCTAATCTCGCCAATAAAACCCCACATACTAATGCCCATGCCCGGGGGCTACCTAGATGGGGAAATTTCCCCAAAATTTCCCTTTTATCTTGCACCAAACTGAGCCCTCGGAAGTCACCGAGAATTTTAAAGTCACTTAAAAACAACTCAGGGAATCTGTCCCAATGTCCCACCATTTCTGTACAAGCGAGCGGCCCATATTTCCTTTCGCATGCTATTTCATTACTTTTTAACAAGTCACTAGAAACTAGAACCTTCCCCAAACTACTCAAGATGGCAAGGGTTACACCAATACATAAAGGTGGTGACCCTACAGACTTAAACAACTATAGGCCAATATCAAACTTACCATTGTTATCCAAAATCTTTTAGAAAAACCCTGCACAGGAGACTATATTCATTTATAACAGCACAAAACATACTCAACCCCTACCAATTTGGATTTAGGAAAAATTTAAAAACACTAATGATGCAATCATAAAAATGCTAGATCTGCTTTACACAGCATTGGAAAATAAGGAATATCCACTAGGAATTTTATTGACCTAAGAAAAGCTTTTGACACAGTAGACCACGACATCCTACTCCACAAAATTTACCATTACGGTATAAGAGGCCCTGCGCTTGCTTATTTCACATCTTACCTTACTAATAGGTATCAGTATGTTTTCCATTAAAGACACAGCATCACAACACGGCCACTTGATACTGGAGTTCCGCAGGGGAAATGTCCTTGGTCCCCTGCCTTCCTCATATACATCAATGATCTTCCAAACGTATCCCAAAAACTGAAACCCATTCTCTTTGCTGACGACACGACTTATGCATCTCTCACCTAATCTTGCCACCCTCAACACCATGTTAACGAGGAGCTGATCAAAATATCGACTTGGATGACAGCCAATAAACTTCGCTTAACACTGACAAAACCTACTATATTTTGTTTGGTTTGCAAGAGCAGGAGATGCACAAATTAACATTAAGATCGACAACACTCTAATTACCAGACATAATGAGGCAAATTCCTAGGCCTATACCTTGACAACAACCTGAATTTCAGCACCCATATCCAACACATAACAAAAAAGTATCCAAAACAGTTGGGATCCTCTCCAAGATACGATATACATGCCGCAAAATGCCTTCTCACACTAAACCACTCACTTATTTATCCATACCTCACCTATGCTATTTGTGCTTGGGGAATCAACTGCAGCAACACACCTAAAGCCAATATTACCCAACAAAAAGCTGCAGTAAGAATAATAACTAAATCCCATCCCTGGCAACACCCCCCCCCCCCACTCTTCATAGACCTAAAACTTACTCCCTGTTCAGTACATCCACACTTACTACTGTGCAATCTACATCTGCAGGACCTTAAACTCCAATATCAACCTTGACCTAAAATGCTTTCTTGATAGTTGTGACAGAACCCACAGGCATAACACCAGACACAAACATCTCTACGACATTCCCCATGTCGACTAAACCTTTACAAAAATTCAATGTATGTCAAAGGCCCTAAAATCTGGAACACCCTACCTGAGAACTCTAGAACTGCAGACACATTCATCACCTTCAAAACTACCATTAGAAAACATCTTATCTCCCTGATAAACCCCATCAACTAACTACACGAATACCACCTGGTGATTCACACTTACACTCACTCACCCATTTGACCATAAACAGAAATATTAATCTCAATCTTAAAATAATGAATCCTATGATACTCCAATACTGAAACTATGTACTGTGCCAAAACAAAAGCATTCACATTGCTAAACTCACAAACTAGTATTTAGTCACTTAGCCATATACCAACTTACCTCATAATTTGTAATATTTTAAAATAAAGAATTAAACTAAGTCTGCCCGAAATGCCTAGCCATGCTAGGCGTTCTAGTGGTACACTCTGTAATCATTATTTTACTACATGTAAACCACACAACAACCAAATTCTGTAAATTCAACATTGTAATCTTTATAGAGAACAAACTTTGAATTGAATTGAATTGAATTATTACATACCTTTATTGAAGACTAATGCTGGCTTCTGGAATGCCTGCTACACTCCCTGTATGCCTGTTACACTTCCTGCATCCCTGCTACACTTCCTGCATGCCTGTTACACTTCCTACATGCCTGCTACACTTCCTGCATGCCTGCTACACTCCCTGCAGGCCTGCTACACTTCCTGCCTGCCTGCTACACTCCCTGCATGCCTGTTACACTTCCTGCATGCCTGCTACACTCCCTGCATGCCTGTTACACTCCCTGCATGCCTGCTACACTTCCTGCATGCCTGTTACACTTCCTGCATGCCTGCTACACTTCCTGCATGCCTGCTACACTCCCTGCATGCCTGTTACACTTCCTGCATGCCTGCTACACTCCCTGCATGCCTGTTACACTTCCTGCATGCCTGCTACACTTCCTGCATGCCTGCTACACTTCCTGCATGCCTGCTACACTTCCTGCATGCCTGCTACACTTCCTGCATGCCTGCTACACTTCCTGCATGCCTGCTACACTTCCTGCATGCCTGCTATACTTCCTGCATGCCTACTACATTTCTGCTACACTTTCTGCATGCCTGTTACATTCCCTGCATGCCTGTTACACTCACTGCATGCCTATTACACTCCCTGCATGCCTGTTACACTCCCTGCATGCCTGTTACACTCCCTGCATGCCTGCTACACTCCCTGCATGCCTGTTACACTCCCTGCATGCCTGTTACGCTCCCTGCATGCCTGATACACTCCCTGCATACCTGTTTCACTCCTTGCATGCCTGCTACACTTCCTGCAGGCCTGCTACATTTCCTGCATGACTGCTACACTCCCTGCATGCCTGCTACACTCCCTGCATGCCTGCTACACTTCCTGCATGCCTGCTACACTTCCTGCAGGCCTGCTACACTTCCTGCATGACTGCTACACTCCCTGCATGTCTGCTACACTCCCTGCCTGCCTGCTACACTTCCTGCATGCCTGCTACACTTCCTGCATGTCTGCTACACTCCCTGCATGCCTGTTACACTTCCTGCATGCCTGCTACACTTCCTGCATGCCTGCTACACTCCCTGCATGCCTGTTACACTCCCTGCATGCCTGCTGCACTTCCTGCATGCCTGCCACACTCCCTGTATGCCTGCTACACTCCCTGCATGCCTGTTACACTTCCTGCATGCCTGCTACACTTCCTGCATGCCTGCTACACTTCCTGCATGTCTGCTACACTTCCTGCATGCCTGTTACACTCCCTGCATGCCTGCTGCACTTCCTGCGTGCCTGCCACACTCCCTGCATGCCTGCTGCACTTCCTGCATGCCTGCCACACTCCCTGTATGCCTGCTAAACTCCCTTCATTCCTGCTACACTTCACGCTTAAATTCCATGGTGTTTCTCACTTTCTTTATCACAGGAACTTTACTAGGAACTTTCTTTGGAGCCATGGTTACTTAATTCGCAATTGCACTGCAAAAAACCCACAAAAACAATGGAAAACAAGCGAATTGTTTGGATGTATGAGCAGAAGCTTCCTCACACACTGAAAGACACAGCCAAACTGACATGCAAGTGGCCCCAGTCAGCGGATGGATGCATCCCAAACGGCTGATCACCGAATTAACGGCCAATAAACAGGCGCCGAAAAACCAGCCGATCGCCAAGTTGGCCGATAACAGAAGCTGCCGATAACTGGGGTTCCACTGTACTGTGGTGCAGGCGGATGTGAACACCTGGATATACTGAGCAGCTTCACAGCAAACATCATGAAATTGGTAACCACTGTTATGACTACCACAATAACTGATATGAAAGAGAATGAGAATGAGAGAGAATGAGAGAATGAATGAAAGAATGAGAGATATAAATAAATACATATACTGTATATATCTATACATATAATGAGATGATTTACCTATGACCTGTTTTGATGTTTTTCCCATACTCTCACACACCACAAGATTTAACCTAGGATAACCCATAAAGTCAAGGAATGGGATTTATACCAAAAACTATGTAAGGCATGGATGGTCCACTGCTGACCCTCTTGACATGACAAAATTATGACATGTGTGACATGTTTTATATTACAGAAACTTCAACAAATGTTGAAACACTCTGTCATAACTAGAGGGCAGTTATGGACCATCCTTGCTTTACACGGTAAAATATACCATGAAGTCTGCATCAGAAAAAAGACTTTATGGACACCCAATTAACATTATAAATGGTATAAAATACCAACAATTTTCACATTAAATTTGGTATGCAATCCCACCAACTTAATGAGTAAGTCATGTGTCCTACTCACACCCTGTATGAGCAATATCAGATTAAAGAGGCTGTTAGGTGAAAATTTAGCAAACTCTTACCATCAACTGCTCTTAGGAAGCCGTGGTATGTGATGAAACAAATCACTACCCCTGTCGCTATGATTTTGGCTATTTTAGAGTTGACATATAAGTTCAGCTCTTCTATGACAGGAAGCTGTATCTTCGGGGATGGTGTGTGGTGCTCAGTGCTAGCTGGAACGTCTCTCTCAGTCATGGTGTCACCCTCCCTGTTGGAGTAGTATAAATGTCACCACAATCATTCTATATTCAGCCCCACCTTCCAATATTTAGAGAGGAAATTACTTTAATTATTATTATTATAGTCAAAACTAAGCACTAAACCTACAAGGGTCATACAGGACTGCAGAGCAGGGTGTGAGAACTTTGTAATGTGCTTGATCTGAAACTAGCAAGGGTTGAGAGTATAACAGAGGTGGAGTTTGTAAGGGCAGTGAGGATTGCTAAAGGAAGTATAATCAAAGGTTGTGTAATAAATTTGTTGTTGTCTAAAGTCAAAGAGGAAGTCTGTCATACAACTATATAGAAAGCCACTTGTTATGCTGAGCATTTCGGGAAAATTAGGTCAGTGTCCCAGGATGCGACCCACACCAGTCGACTAACACACAGGTACCCATTTTACTTATGGGAAACATAGACAACAGGTGTAAAGAAACACGTCCTAATGTTTCCACCCGTACCGGGGATCAAACCACGATTGTATTACAGGACCTGCACTTGCAGGTCCTGTAATACAACCTACCAAACATTCTCCACCCAACTCTCCATCTTATATATACTCATGTATTCTTTACCTAAGTAGATTATTATTATAATCAAGGGGGAGCGCTAAACCCGTAAGATTAGAGAGCGTCTGAGGGGGGATGTGGAAGGTATTCAGGTTTAATTCAGGGAACTGGAGAACAGATCCAATTCCCTATATCAAGAGCCCCTCACCAGCATCAAGGACCCTTCCTTGAGGGGGTTTACCCAAGTAGAGCTGATTGTGACTTGATAAAACCCACTGTGGGCAAAACATAGTATTATTAATAAATAATTATGTTGCATTTCTGTTTGTTTTGCCATACGTACAGTTTAAATGGAGGTTTCTGGTCCTCCTTATGAATACTTGATGTGTAGTGTTGTTGTATCTTCAGTAATATTAGTTGTGTCCCGCCACTGTGTGTGGCTGTGCCAGTGTGGCACAGCTTGGAGACGTAAACAAACACAGCTGTGTTGTTAGCGTGGCAATGCAGTGCTCTCCGCCAATCACAACGCAGCAACTCCACAATCTCGCTTCTGATTGGTCCATTTCTGCCTCGCCCACTTTTTCCACCACTGAAAACGTTGTAGAGTTTTCTTTCTAAAATTTCCGTAATATGTGTTTGGGAAAATATACAACTGTCAAACTTTTATTTCAAAAAGAAAAATGTATTTTGTTATGTTTTATTATATGAAATTAACAAAAAAATAATTCTTAACGTTTAAATCAATCAGTATGAGCCATAAAATGACGTAGGAGTGCCTCAGGGCAGTGTTCTTGGCACTGTTCTTCCTCAATAATAATAATAATAATAATAATAATAATAATAATAATAATAATAATAATATAATAATAATAATAATAATAATAATCTTTATTACTACAAGTACATGTACAAGGTATACAGGCGGGCTAGGGGTCGGCCTAAGATTGGTTGGAGGGAGGGGGTAAAGGAGGTTTTGTGAGGGAAGGGTTTTGACTTCCAGCAAGCATAAGTGAGCGTGTTAGATAGGAGTAAATGGAGGCAAATGGTTTTTAGGACTTGACGTGCTGTTGGAGTGTGAGCAAAGTAACATTTATGAAGGGATTCAGGGAAACCGGCAGGCCGGACTTGAGTCCTGGAGATGGGAAGTACAGTGCCTGCACTCTGAAGGAGGGGTGTTAATGTTGCAGTTTAAAAACTGTAGTGTAAAGCACCCTTCTGGCAAGACAGTGATGGAGTGAATGAAGATGAAAGTTTTTCTTTTTCGGGCCACCCTGCCTTGGTGGGAGACGGCCGATGTGGTAATAAAAATATTATTATTATTATTATTATTATTATTATTATTATTATTATTATTATTATTATTATGATTATTATTTATTATTATTATATAGTAACAAAATACATTTTTAACATTTATCTTGGTCAAATGGAAAAAAAAATATTTAAATAATGAAATACTACAATAACCCCTATGGAAGTAAATCACTTTGACTGTCTTGGGTTATCCTAGTTAATTTACACATATATTACTAGGCATGATAACTGTACTTACGTGTACCTGTACCCAAATAAACTTGCTTACTGACTCAGATAACTGAGTAAGTTTAAGTAAATAAGTTAGAAAGCAAGTGTATATAGATAGACTTAAGACAAGTTGCAGGAGTTCGAACAGTTCATCAGGTGATTGTAAACACAGTGGCCGTCACCGCCTCCTTCTCTTATTTACTGATAAAAAAAAAGGTTTAGTACTCTTGCTTTAAGATAAGTGTGTGTTGTCCACAACCTTTCATCACACTAATGTAATACATACATAGGCTTTGTTTTTTTTGTATTATATTAACCGAGGGTTAATACTCGTAGAGGAGGTCAGGGAGGCAATATGGTTTAATGTTGTTTACTCTTGGAAATTAACCAGAAAAGCAAGAAATATTGTCTGGGATGACCTGGGACTGTTTATTACTTGTGTGTTAAGACTAACATATAACGAACTGTGAGATCTGTGTGGTGTGTTCAACAACCATTAATATTGTCACACCTGGCAGGTTTTGGGAACTTTAAAAAAGAAATAATAAAAGCAGTGTGCTAAATTTAATAATTTCGAGCTTTTTTTGGAACTCGTGTGTGCTACCAGTTTACTAATGTGCTTTCTATTTACGAAAATTTACCAGGACTTTTTGAAAATATGGGCTGGAGTTTACGATTAATGCTTGATGAAGCTCGTACATTACTTTATACTCGAGGATTAGTTTACATTTTACAAATACAGAACTTATGTACGCCAACAAATAATTTAGTATTTTGGAAATTCTTATTTTTACGTTTTACAATACGTAATTTATGTACACCGCCGAATAATTATTTCATGTGGAAATTGTTATTTTGGGCAATGACAAAAAAAAGTATATTTTGGTTGCACATCTTAAGAAAAACTGTGATTAGTACTGAATTGTGTCAAAGGCATTTTCAGATACAAACACTCATATTTACCAATGGCAGAGTAAGGTTAATTATAATGATTTATTTCTCTGAGCCATCCAAATAATACAGATACAGTAGTAGGCACAAGAAATTCACTGTTAATTTAAGCAAATAAGCTTATTTAGGTACAAATACACATAAGTACAATTACCATGCACAATGTAAATTACCTAGGATAACCCAAAAAAAGTTAAGTTACTGCAGGTTATTTTGGCTTGGATTTGGTGGTTTTCATCAGCTACGTAATGATTTTTACTAGTTGAATGAGAAAATAATATCTCGGATGTACACTCAAATTAATACAGTATAGTAAAATTCAAACCCAGTGGAAATAAGTCATTTTGACTTTTTGGGGGATATCCTAGGTAACTTACACATATGGCAATATAAACACAAATGCAGTATAATGTGATCCTTTATTGACTACGTTTCGCCCACACAGTGGGCTTTTTCAAGTCACAAACAGAACTACCTGGGGTGGAAGGAACGCGAGTATTTATAGTCCGGCTGAGGTCAGGTGAAGAATGCTGCATCTGATGATGTACCGAGTTGGGTTGTAGAGTCTAAAAACTTGGGTAGCTTGGAAAGGAGACTGGACAAGTTTGTGAGCAGACCTTCTACAGTGTTCTTATGTGGGATAGCGATGAAGAAGTTTCTTGGCAAGTGGTTCAGCTATGTTATAGAAGCCACTATTCTGGTTGAAGTTGTCGGATATAGAAATAAGTGATGATTCCAGGATTCTTCGGTATTGGGTGTTGTCTTCTGTGGCGATAAGTATTTTCCAAACTCCACTATCCTCGTCACTTCATCAGAGACTGCAGACGGCGAGCACTAAACATCTTCAACACACCCAGAGAAGACACTGCCGAGAAGAGATACATAGTCCTTCCCACCAACTCCATTGCCAAACATGTTTCCAACATCTTTGCCAAAACATCATTCCAAGTATCTACCTCCACAACCACGACCATCAAGGACATCACCAGTAGTAGGCAGGACAAGCCTCCATCCTCTGCAGGGGTTTACATAATCCCTTGTAATGACTGCAACAAGTTATACGTGGCGAAACATCAAGGGACCTCCAAACACGTATTTCAGAACACCAATACGCAAGCAGGTCTGACGACACAAGGAATGCCTGCGTACAACACCGTAATTCACACAACCACTTGATAAACTACAGAAACTCAAGACTTATCGCCACAGAAGACAACACCCAATACCGAAGAATCCTGGAATCATCACTTATTTCTATATCCGACAACTTCAACCAGAATAGTGGCTTCTATAACATAGCTGAACCACTTGCCAAGAAACTTCTTCATCGCTATCCCACATAAGAACACTGTAGAAGGTCTGCTCACAAACTTGTCCAGTCTCCTTTCCAAGCTACCCAAGTTTTTAGACTCTACAACCCAACTCGGTACATCATCAGATGCAGCATTCTTCACCTGACCTCAGCCGGACTATAAATACTCGCGTTCCTTCCACCCCAGGTAGTTCTGTTTGTGACTTGAAAAAGCCCACTGTGTGGGCGAAACGTAGTCAATAAAGGATCACATTATACTGCATTTGTGTTTATATTGCCATTGTGTCGGTATTTTATACCATTTATTTCCAACTTACACATATGCTGCTATGTATGACAATTTATGTAACTGTATTTATGTATACCTGTACCTGAATAAACTTACTTAACTATAATTAATAACTGAAATCTGCCAAGGAGCAGTTGTCTATTATTATTGCCACCACACTAGGATTTGCTAGTTGAAATATGTAAAAATCTGTTTTGTTACTCAGGGATGAGATGATACCCAATTTTTTGCTAATTCCAGTACTCAGTTTTAGAAATGTACCTATACTGATACCATCAAAATTAGCTGATGGCGAAATAAACCCAGTGAGGAGCAGGTGTGTGGTGGGCACAATAAGGGAACACTAAATCAACTTTCGTGGCTCCAGACTATTCAACATCTTACCAGAGGATATCAGAAGCATGGCTGGAACAAGTGTAGAAGCCTTCAAGAGGAAACTGGACCAGTATCCTCACCAGGTGCCATATCAACCAAGCTGTGATGGATGTATGGGGCAGCAGGCTACCAGCAGCAACAGCCTGATTGATCAGGCAAGCACCACACAAGCCTGACCCGTGGCCAGGCTCCGAGAGTAGTGAGACTCTTTGAAACACATCAAAGGGAAAGGCTGGTATCAATATCATTAAAATTAGCAGACACCCATCTATACCGATACTGACACTTCGGCATATTGCTAATAAGTATGCAAGTAAGTTTATTAGATACAAATACCCATAAATACAGTTACATAAATTGTCATACATAGTACCACATGTGTAAATTACCTATGATAACCCAAAAAAGTCAAAGTGACTTATTTCCATCATCAGAGCTCATGTACTTATCTCAATTTGCAGTGTCTCTGTGCTAGAATTGAAGTACTCTGTTGCCCTGGCATTGTGCTCAGGATGGTGGTATGCAGTGCTCATGGCCAAAAGGGCCTGAATTTGGACAAGATGTATGGGCAAATCTCCTTATGCCTATTGCTGCTCTTCACCTAACAGCAAATAGGTACCTGAGTATTAGTCAACTGTTATGGGTTAAAACAAGGGAAAATAGTGCCATTGATGACACTTTTCAAATCACTTATGCTCTCTCATTTAGAATATTGTTCAGTGTTGATAGCCCCATTCAGGGCAGGAGAGAGATCTGAGCTGGAACAGATAAGGATCATTTGCAGCCTGTGTAGAGCTAATAAAGCATTTAAATTACTGGGAATGCCCTAAGTATGTGCTCACTAGAGTAGAGGAGAGAGAGAGATACTGTACATAATAATATATACCTGGAGAGTACTTAAGGGCCTGGTCCCAAATCTGCATACTGCTGTAATAACATACTGGAGTGAGAGAGATGGGAAGAAGTGGAAAATAAACCCAGTGAAAAGCAGGGGCACCATGGACACAATAAGAGAACTTTGTATCAACATCTGTGGCCCCAGACTATACATCTTACCAGAAGATATCAGAAACACTACTAGGAGAAGTGTGGAAGCATTCAAGAGGAAACTGGACAAGTATTTTCTCCAGGTGCCAGATCAACCAGGCTGTGATGGATATGTGGGCCAATGGGCTGCCAGTAGCAGCAGCCTGGTTGACCAGGCAAGCAGCAGATGAGCCTGACCCTATGCTGGGTATATCAAAGGTCAATCCTGGAGAAGGATGCCAATGAAATGGGCTATAAAGTAGCTATTGCCTGCCTGCCTTTTTTTTTTTTTTTTTTTTTTTTTTTTTTTTTTTTTTGCCTTTATTAAGGTTAATAACCTCATTAATCTGTATAACCCAAGAAAGCTAAACAGTGTAACTTATTTCCATTGGGGTCTTTTTTAGATTCCTGGCATGTAACCCACAATAGCTGATTATAACTAGGTACAGTACGAAATATATCTGTTTATGAATGGTTCAGAGAACCAACAAGTTGATAAATTAGACACATGTGCAACACTTGGGTATCTTTAATGAGGAAACATTTTGCCATACAATGGCTTCATCAGTCCATACAAAGGAGAATATTGAAGAATAGGAGGAGTTTTGAGGTAATCAGTCCCTCAGCCTTGAGTCGACTGAGGGACTGATTGCCTCAAAACTCCTCCTGTTCTTCACTATTCTCCTCTGTATGGACTGATGAAGCCACTGTGTGGCAAAATGTTTCCTCATTAAAGGTGCCCAGGTGTTTGCACTTGTGTCTAATTTATCAACATAGTACTATCTGTTTACTTCTGAGTAATGGGCATCAGGTGTTTGGAGATTTGCCCATGTCTTGCACCTTGACCAGGGTTCAACTTCAGTACTTAATTATGAATTAAAAAATACTAGCTACCACTGTGCTATAAGGCACCCTGAAAAAAATATTTTGTAAGAGTGCTACAATACAGGAATGCTTGCACAAGACTGGTGTGCATCTGTCTATGGTATTTTAATGTTAAAAAGGAAATCTTATGGTCAAACTGACTCAAGAAATCATAATGACACAATTGCAAACAAACCACAGTACAGGCGGGGACTGAACTCGCGGTGAGTCGTAAAACTCCAGACCGAAGTATTAGCACTGGGCCAGCTGGCTACAGTAAGATTCATCTAACTAGGTATATTTATACACCATAGGAAGGTTAGCATAGACACCACTGTGACCACAAATGCAAGCTTTTACAGATGAATCTCCCGCTAGCGTGGCCGTGATGAACTCTAGCTCAAGTCCCTTCAAAGCCATCATCATGACTCAAATCATAATGAGATGATTGATGACAGCTTTGAGGGGACTTGAGCTAGAGTTTGTCATAGCCACACTGGCGGGAGATTCATCTGTAAAATCTTGTATTTGTTGGTCACGGTGGTGTCTTTGCTAACCTTCCTGTGGTGTATAAATATACTACCTAGTTGGATGAATCTTATTGTAGCCAGTTGGCCCAGTGTCGGTCTGAAGTTTTACGACTCACAGCAAGTGCAGTCCCCGCCCGTACTGTGGTTTTAATGCTTAAACTCATACAGAAGCTAAAAAAAACAATTATTCATACAGCTTTGTATCCACCCTGTTCATTGTCTTTAACAATTTACTTAAACATGGATTTGTTTAAATGTTTATAGGTTCTTGATATTTATGAAACAATAATGTATGTTCTTTGTGTTTAAGAAGGTTTGGTGGCTGTATTCAGGAGCAGTTTTGTGCAAGTCTTCACTAAATGTAAGTAAGTAGGGTTGTTACAGGTGACGCTTGCCACTGCCATCTTCGTCCCCTTCAAATTAATATTACTCTCCCAAATATATCTTTGACCATGAAAATAACTGCCATAGGTATACTTTCTTTGATGTGGCATAATATCTATAAATTTTGCAATAATTTTAAATTTAGGGTACCTATTAATAATTGCAATATATTTATTTCTTAGTTTAAGGTTTTGTAGTTTGGTGATTTTCTACTAGAGATATGGTAGCTATTTTAATACTGTATTAGCTACTGCATATATGGTATATAATGCAATATTTTTATATAGGCTACACCTCAGCCCTACCCTTTCCCAAACCAGTGAAATTGTACCCCTCACTTTGACAGGTTAAAATGCCCATTAAATTATAACTAGTATATTTTTTGTTTCTACTTTGCAGTTATTTGATCATTTGTGTATCAAATTACATGTCAGCTAAGTTTAATAATATCTCATTACTTTTGAGCCAGAATCAGTAAAAATGGTTTAATAAATGTATTTTCATCCTCATCCTCTTGTTAATTTCTTTATATATTGTACTTAAAGTGTAAAATTTGCATAATACAGATACTGTTCATGAATGGTAATAATCCAAAGACAGTGTTCTTTTTACAGTATCTTGCAATATTGCAGAGTAGTCTTTTTATAACTGCTATTTTTATCCCAATCCTCTCCTAATATATTAGAATTGACATGTTATACCTGCTGTTTCTATATTGTCTCCCAGTACAGTATATATTTTACAGAGTCGATCTGTTATAGCAGCTACTTTTATATTAAGTTTTTAAAATATATTAGAGAGTAGACCTGTTATATCTGCTGTTTGTTTCTCAAGTCTCTCCTCATGCCTTAAAGTGTACCTGTTATGACAACAGGTCTTCAGATACAGGTATATCATATAGTAGACCTGTTAAAACTACTGTTTCTATCTGAAGGTTTCCACATAAACCACATGTAAACAGGAACACATTAGATTAATTGGTCTGTATATTTTTGTCCCCTTCTCTGATCCTCTTCAGCATCTACTGAAAAGGATCATAGAAGGGGATTGAAATATACAGACCAATTAATCTTCTGTGTTTCTGTCTCTATATGGGTTATTATTAATCACTGACACATATTCATTACACTTTAGTTATCCAAAGAATAACATGATAAATAATCATTAAAAAGTATGTATATGTGTGTATAACAGCATGAGATCTCTATAAGAGGCATAACTACTTCCTTTCTGATTCCCAGTCACCTCATAGCTTTATGTTCTCATTTTATCGATGGTATACAGTCCTGATAAGTTGATGAATAAGGTACAGTAAAGGTACCCAGATGTTGTACATGTGTCTTTTTCAACAATTTTATGTTATATCCTGTAGTTTTTGTGTGTTAGGTATTCTGCTTCATGCTTTAGACACAGACAGGTGTTCTAGAGTGAAAGTAGTTTGCTTTTAGTAATGTTCAGGAAGTCCACCCAGAGATACATCATGCATGTTCATATATTTTATCTAAATTATTTTTATATTCATGGGATAGTGCTAAACTCAAGGGTCATACAGCACCAGGAAATGGGAAGTAATCGGGCATATCGAAGGAAAGTGAGAGTAACTCCAATTTCTTAGATCAATAAACCTTCTGCAGTATCAAGGTCACCCCTTTTTCTCTTAAATCAATAAACCCTGTGTTGGTCATTCAGCATAAGGAGTGGTAAAGGCTCAGTTCTATCCACTAATGGTCAGATAGCTATGCAGCTTAGCTAAACAAGTTGAGCTCTTGCAGGACCCAGCCAATGCCCTTTTATTTAGTTTTGTATATTTTTCACTTATTTTATTTATAATATATTGAAGGCCCAGTTTAAGAACTAAGCTGTAGCTAAGCCTACGAACACATTTAGTGTAGTTAATTCCCAGAATAATTGGGTTCAGAGCACTGTTGTAACACAAAGTCCATATTAGCAGATGCATTTGTTGACATCTCATGATTTGACCAAGAGAGTATAGATGCAGGTTAAATAGTATAAGCATTATTTCAATCAGGTTCAATTATAGGCTTGTATTTGTTGGACTCTATAATATATCATTAAAAGTCTGACAGATGAAAATGTCTGGAATTTTTAGTGTAAATTCAGCCCTCATTATATGCTTAATAATACTACAAATTTAAAGGCATACTGATAAAGTTATTGTACTGTACTAGGAAATTTTTTACATAAATATGAAAGGTAAGTTTGAGTTTACATTGAGTGTGGTGGTGGAAAGAACTTTTATAAGTGACATAAGATATATGAAAGACAAGTGAGGCCAACATGAAGAGATGACTGACTTTGAAAGATGAAGAATTGTATATTCATACCACAAAGAAACAAAGAAAAAATTAGATACCACTTCAGTGATTTGCAAACATAGTGCCAGCACCTAGTCTTTCTTAATTATGCTTAGAAATGTGAAAGTTAACAGCAATGAGTTGAATTTATTGTAGGTATTACTTTATTTTCCCATCAGGAACTTTTCATAAAACTCAATATAGTGGCAGTGGCATTTATAGGATGTTCCAATGTCTATTTTTATTTGACTGGTTGTTCTTGTAATTATATCCCCCTCTGAGTTATATTCGTGTCTTTGTATTTCAAGTACGTATTTGTTTTAATGCATACAAGTAAATGTAAAGTGTAAGTTAACTTCTGAGCAAAATGTTGAAGAGGCAGGTGTTTGTATGCTATATCTCCGTGATGGAACTGAATTGAGTACGTATTTAATTGATGACTAGATGAGACAGTGTTATGCAGAAGTGAAAAAAAATACATATAGTTTATCAAGTTTAAGAGTTACAGTAGGATAGCTACTGACTTTTTTTTTTAAATAAGAGGAAAGTTGAGTGTAAATGTTTCATTTATACTCATTCATAGTAATAGATGACAAGTTGGAGACGGTGGAGAAATAAATATATATATATAAATATATATATATATATATATATATATATATATATATATATATATATATATATATATATATATATATATATATATATATATATATATATATATATATATATATATATATATATATGGTGTGCAAAAGAAGAAAATTAAAGGTGAATACAGGAAAGAGTAAGGTTATGAGGATAACAAAAAGATTAGGTGATGAAAGATTGGATATCAGATTGGAGGGAGAGAGTATGGAGGAGGTGAATGTATTCAGATATTTGGGAGTGGACGTGTCAGCGGATGGGTCTATGAAAGATGAGGTGAATCATAGAATTGATGAGGGGAAAAGAGTGAGTGGTGCACTTAGGAGTCTGTGGAGACAAAGAACTTTGTCCTTGGAGGCAAAGAGGGGAATGTATGAGAGTATAGTTTTACTAACGCTCTTATATGGGTGTGAAGCATGGGTGATGAATGTTGCAGTGAGGAGAAGGCTGGAGGCAGTGGAGATGTCATGTCTGAGAGCAATGTGTGGTGTGAATATAATGCAGAGAATTCGTAGTTTGGAAGTTAGGAGGAGGTGCGGGATTACCAAAACTGTTGTCCAGAGGACTGAGGAAGGGTTGTTGAGGTGGTTCGGACATGTAGAGAGAATGGAGTGAAACAGAATGACTTCAAGAGTGTATCAGTCTGTAGTGGAAGGAAGGCGGGGTAGGGGTCGGCCTAGGAAAGGTTGGAGAGAGGGGGTAAAGGAGGTTTTGTGTGCGAGGGGCTTGGACTTCCAGCAGGCATGCGTGAGCGTGTTTGATAGGAGTGAATGGAGACAAATGGTTTTTAATACTTGACGTGCTGTTGGAGTGTGAGCAAAGTAACATTTATGAAGGGGTTCAGGGAAACCGGCAGGCCGGACTTGAGTCCTGGAGATGGGAAGTGCAGTGCCTGCACTCTGAAGGAGGGGTGTTAATGTTGCAGTTTAAAAACTGTAGTGTAAAGCACCCTTCTGGCAAGACAGTGATGGAGTGAATGATGGTGAAAGTTTTTCTTTTTCGGGCCACCCTGCCTTGGTGGGAATTGGCCAGTGTGATAATAAAAAAAAAAAAAAAATATGTATGCAATAAGATCACAGTAAACAGGTGATTTCAGAATATGCAAAACAACCACTCTGAAAGAATAGAGAAATTCCAAGCGCTTTCGTGACTACTCACATTATCAAGGAACTATGATAATGTGTGTAGTCACGAAAGCGCTTGGAATTTCTCTATTCTTTCAGAGTGGTTGTTTTGTGTGTGTGTATATATATATATATATATAATATATATATATATATAATATATATATATATATATGTATATGTATATGTATATGTCGTGCCGAATATGTAAAACTGGTCAATTAGCAAGAACTCATTTAAAATTATGTCCTTTCTGAAATTTTCTCTTATACGTTTAAAGATATATTTTTTTCATTAACGTTAATGTAAAAATTTTTAATTTTGCACCAAAAGAATCTTAGAAAACTTACCTAACCTTATTATAACAAGAACAATTTATTTTAGCCTAACCCAACTGAATATAATTTAGATTTGTTTACAGTAATTTAAAACTAAACAAATACAGTGAAATATATTTTTTTCGTAAGGTTCAGAATGATTTTGGCGAAATTATTGCATACATAAATTTTCACTTGTCCTATATGGCAAGATGAGCGTTGCTATTTAAGCCAAGATCGCAAGTTCTGCCTATTCGGCACGACATATATATATATATATATATATATATATAATATATATATATATATATATATATATATATATATATATATATATATAATATATATATATATATATATATATATATACATACATACATACACACAGTGGACCCCTGCATAACGATGGCATCACATAGCGATTTTTCCGCATACCGATTACTTTTATCGCAAAATTTTTGCCGCGCATACCGATTAAAAACCCGCTTACCGATTTTCGTCCGAGACGCGTCCAATGTGCCCTCAGCCAGCCTCACATGTGCCGGCCGTCCCATTGTTTACCAGCCAGCCTCCGCGGTAACATCCAAGCATACACTCGGAATATTTCGTATTATTACAGTATTTTCGGTGCTGTTTCTGGAAAATAAGTGACCATGGGCCCCAAGAAAGCTTCTAGTGCCAACCCTACACCTCAAAGGGTAAGAATTACTATAGAAATGAAGAAAGAGATAATTGATAAGTATGAAAGTGGAGTGCGTATAGCCGACCTAGTCAAGCTGTACAAGAAACCCCAATCAACCATCGCTACTATTGTGGGCACCAGAAAGACAATCAAGGAAGCTGTTCTTGCCAAAGGTTCAACTGTGTTTTCGAAACAAAGATCGCAAGTGATGGAAGATGTTGAGAGACTCTTATTGGTGTGGATAAATGAAAAACAGCTAGCAGGAGATAGCATCTCTCAAGCGATCATATGTGAAAAGGCTAGGAAGTTGCATGAGGATTTAATTAAAAAAAATGCCTGCAACTAGTGATGATGTGAGTGAATTTAAGGCCAGCAAAGGTTGGTTTGAGAGATTTAAGAAGCGTAGTGGCATCCATAGTGTGATAAGGCATGGTGAGGCTGCCAGTTCGGACCACAAAGCGGCTGAAAAATATGTGCAGGAATTCAAGGAGTACATAGAAACTGAAGGACTGAAACCTGAACAAGTGTTTAATTGTGATGAAACAGGCCTGTTCTGGAAGAAAATGCCAGCAGGACCTACATTACTCAGGAGGAAAAGGCACTCCCAGGACATAAGCCTATGAAAGACAGGCTTACTTTGTTGATGTGTGCCAATGCTACTGGTGATTGCAAGTGAAGCCTTTATTAGTGTATCACTCTGAAACTCCCAGAGCGTTCAGGCAAAAGAATGTCCTCAAGGATAATTTGTGTGTGCTGTGGAGGGCAAACAGTAAGGCATGGGTCACTAGGGAATTTTTCTATAACTGGTTACACCATGCATTTGCCCCCAATGTGAAAAATTACCTAACTGAAAAGAAATTAGAACTTAAGTGCCTCCTGGTGTTAGACAATGCCCCTGGTCATCCTACAGACGTGGCAGAGCGACTTTATGGGGACATGAGCTTCATTAAGGTGAAGTTTTTGCCTCCTAATACCACGCCTCTCCTGCAGCCCATGGACCAGCAGGTTATTTCCAACTTCAAGAAACTGTACACAAAAGCTCTGTTTGAAAGGTGCTTTGTAATGACCTCAGAAACTCAACTGACTCTAAGAGAGTTTTGGAGAGATCACTTTAATATCCTCAATTGTGTAAACCTTATAGGTAAGGCTTGGGAGGAAGTGACTAAGAGGACCTTGAACTCTGCTTGGAAGAAACTGTGGCCAGAATGTGTAGACAAAAGGGATTTTGAAGGGTTTGAGGCTAACCCTGAGAATCCTGTGCCAGTTGAGGAATCCATTGTGGCATTGGGAAAGTCCTTGGGGTTGGAGGTTAGTGGGGAGGATGTGGAAGAGTTGGTGGAGGAGGACAATGAAGAACTAACCACTGATGAGCTGATAGATCAACTTCAAGAGCAAGAGGCCAGACCTGGGGAAACTGGTTCAGAGGAGGGGAGAGAGAAATTGAAGAAGTTGCCTACTACAAAGATAAAGGAAATCTGTGCTAAGTGGCTTGAAGTGCAAACCTTCATGGATGAAAATCACCCTCACACAGCTGTTGCAAGCCGTGCTGGTGATTATTACACTGACAATGTTGTGAAACACTTTAGGCAAGTCATAAAGGAACGAGAGGTACAGGCCACTATGGACAGATATCTTGTGCGAAAGAAGTCCAGTGACTCTGAAGCTGGCCCTAGTGGCATTAAAAAAAGAAGGGAAGTAACCCCAGAAAAGGACTTACTACCTCAAGTCCTAATGGAAGGGGATTCCCCTTCTAAACAGTAAGAAGATAATGCTCTCCCCTCCTCCCATCCCATCAATCATCACCAGATCTTCAATAAAAGTAAGTGTCATTTAATTGTGCATGCCTTTTTCAGTTTGTGTGTATTAAAATTAACATTTCATGTGGTAAAAAAAAAATTTTTTCATACTTTTGGGCGTCTTGCACGGATTAATTTTATTTCCATTATTTCTTATGGGGAAAATTCATTCGCATAACGATTATTTCGCATAACAATTATCCCTCTTGCACGGATTAAAATCGTTAACCGGGGGTCCACTGTATATATGTATATGTATGTATGTATGTATGTATGTATATATGTATATATATATGTATATAATATATGTATATATATATGTATATATATATGTATATATATATGTATATATATATGTATGTTTTATATATATATATATATTATATATATATATATATAAAATATATATATATATATAATATATATATTATATATATATATATATATATATATATATATAAGGGTGAACAAATGTAGCTACAGATACAAGTGCAGTATTGTACGTATTTTGAGGTGTGTGGATGTTGTGATTCAATGGGTTTTTAAATCATGATATACACCCATCTGGTGAAACATCTAGGGAGCAATTGCTGGTAAATGTATTTTCATCTTTAGGTCACTCTGCCTTGGTGAAGAACATAATGTATTTATTGTTATCATGATGCAATGTTAATATGCTGATGTAACTCTGTGCCATAGGGCTGATCAGGCTGACAGCATGGTTTCGCCAATGGATGACCAAGATAAGCTCCTCGACGAAGCAATGGGAGCAGTTCGAGGTCAGGCATTTCAAATGAAACGATGTTTGGATAAAGGTCGATTAATGGATGGACTAAAGCATGCATCAAACATGCTTGGAGAACTGAGGACATCACTTCTTTCTCCTAAAACATATTATGAACTCTGTATCCTTTTGTATTAAAAGTCATTGCACATAAATTGTACAGTATATAATAGTTTCATAATCTCTAGTCTTATCATTCATAGATATTCTTACTTTATCTAGGTAAATAAAGAATAATATTTTGTTTCAGTACACAAGTAACCCACACTTAGGAGAAAGTAACTTATGATGACGTTTCAGTCCAAGTCAGACTGAAACATCATCATAATTTTCTTTCTGCTGTGTGCGGGTTATTTGTGTATTGTTCCAGTCATGGTATTGTGCCTTTTTGTTCATTTTGTTTCAGTATTTGTTTACTTATTAGGTAAGTATTTGTAAATTGCTGCTTCAATATTTAATGTTAAAAAAAATCAGACTGTAAAGCTTGATAAAGAATAATACAGTGCTTACACTCTGAAGGATGGGTAAGGATGTTGCAGCGTAGAGGGTCATTTGAATTATAATGTCCATGTACCTCTGGTAAAACAGCAGTTGAGTGACATACCTCTATGTGTTTTTTTTTTGGTCACTCTACTTTAGTGGGAGAATTCTTATGTGATTGAAAAAGGAGTAATTTATAAAAAAAGTCACTTATTTGCCATGTTGTCTTTATTGGTTTGGTAATTATTGTGCTCAAGTTTATTTCCTTGACTTGCTTCAGACATGTGCATTTGTGACGAACTACGACACTTGGAAATGTACCTTATTGATGAGTTTCAAAAAGGGCAGCGTGTAGCAGACCTATATGAGCTGGTTCAGTATGCTGGCAATATTGTTCCTAGACTGTAAGTAAGCTTTTAAGACCTATAACTATATCATAATTCTTTATATTTACATTTTGTAATTATGTTATATAGTTTACTGTATTTTTAATACAGAAAAAATGTGTTACTTTCAAAAACAAACCAGGTCCATAACTAGATATATGTATAAAAATTAATGAATTTCAAATGGAGAATAAGCCAAAGGAAAATTCTTACATATGCTAGCTGACAGCATATTGAAATTTAATGCTCCTATTTAGGGAGCGGGCAGGTGAAACATATCGACTTCTTTATTTTTCAACCGATTACGTTCATTTTTGGTGTACTATTAGAAGCTTATATCAAATATCCTGTGCTGAAGTTTCAATCATATCGGCCAAAAAGGAAATGAAATATGCAAAATTTACGAAAAATTGCATTTGGCAGGGGAGTCCTTCTCAGTGGTACTTGGAAAAGTGGTTTTGACACTTGCTGCTGATAGAACACCTCTAATTCCATCACTGTAAGTGTACCTATTCTAAAATAAACCTTATCTTCATGCTAAAAAAAAATAAGTTTCATAACTTTTTTGACATATTGGAAGATGTCGGTCTTGTTGCCCACATAAATCTAAAAATATTTGGGATAGTTCAGGAAGGTACACTCCACCTTGTAAAGCAATCATTCTCCTATGTTTGTTGTGAAAATCAAGTCAATTCAATCATAAATAAAGATGGATTGCCCCTAAATAGGTAAATAAGTTACTTTCGAGATATAGGCCGAAGCACGCGGCACCCCAGCTGCCCGGGAAATCATTTTTTTCCCCGAAAAATTCGCTTTATTTTACACTTTTTGCGTGACCTACGAGTGTTTATTACAGTTAACCATTGTAAATCCGTTTTCTCTCATCACTTGTAAGAGATAACGAAACTTCAGGGGATACACCGATAGAAATTTTTCCCTCTTGGGCATCATATTATGCTATATATTATTTTTTACGGTGTGCTTTTTATGTTTATATGCTATTATTATATTGCATTATGTCATAATAGATCAATTGTGATAGATAAATAAGCCTTATAATTGATATTAGCGTGGGTATGGAATATTTATGGAATATTTTGTTGGCTGGAGGTGTCGGCCATTTTGGGTACTATACCCAGGGTACCTGACTGGTTACTTGACCATATTAGCTCCGCCCGCTCGGGCATGATCTCAGACAGTGAATTTGTATTATATTAGACATAAAGATATAAGAAAACGATAAAAATAACACGGGGAAAAAACGTAAACAAAGCCGAGTCAGTGCTTCTTACGCAATATGACGCATCAGCACTGTCACCATGCCTGTTATAAATGGCTGTAATTCCTTTTAGAAACATCGTACAAGGATAATAATTATACCAGAGTGTAGCCAGAAAGTTCAGCTATTTTTTGGTAACAATAACTCCATTTTCATATTTTTTCAAATTTTTTTTTTGCTCCGCGCGCGTGAACCTGACCGCTCCCTTTAGCTCATTTAAAAAATATCAAAAACTGTCAGTACAGTATACACTCCAAAATTTGCTGTTATGTTCCACATTCGAGGAACTACATTTATACACAGATTTGTGATGAATGGTTTGAAAAACCGACAAGTTGAAGATTGAGACACTTGTGCAGCATATGGGAATCTTTATTCAGGAAACGTTTCGCCACACAGTGGCTTCATCAGTCCAATACAAAGAAGAAGGCGTAAGGAGAGGAGGAGTATGAGGTAATCAGTCCCTCAGCCTGGAGTCGATGTGTTCAGTCCATTCTACAAGATTGATGGACTGAACACATCGACTCAGGCTGAGGGACTGATTACCTCATACTCCTCCTCTCCTTACGCCTTCCTCTTTGTATTGGACTGATGAAGCCACTGTGTGGCGAAACGTTTCCTGAATAAAGATTCCCATATGCTGCATAAGTGTCTCAATCTTCATACACAGATTTATACACTTCGAGAGTGTATAAATCTGTAGTGGAGGGAAGGCAGAGTAGGGGTCAGCCTAGGAAAGGTTGGAGGGAGGGGGTAAAGGAGGTTTTGTGTGCGAGGGGCTTGGACTTCCAGCAAGCATATGTAAGTGTGTTAGATAGGAGCAAATGAAGACAAATGATTTTTAGGACTTGACGTGCTGTTGGAGTGTGAGCAAGGTAACATTTATGAGGAGATTCAGAGAAACCAGCAGGCCAGACTTGAGTCCAGAGATAGTAAGTACATTGCCTGCACTCTGAAGGAGAGGTGTTTATGTTGCAGCTTTATAACTGTAGTGTGGGTGCACCTCTGGCAAGACAGTGATGGAGTGAATGATTAAAATTTTTCTTTTTCAGGACACCCTACTTTGGTGGGAATGGCCAATATGTTAATAAAAAAATAAAATATTCTACACTATAGCACTACTACTCTCTCATTGACCCATACTTCATCTATGAAATTTGTGCCTGGGGTTTTACCTCAGCTATCAACCTCAATCCAATTATCACACAACAAAAGGCAGTTAACATAACCATCACAGACTCAAATTTTAGGCAAAACTCTTCTCTTATTTAAATCCTAAATCTTCTGAATATTAATGCCAGAATGTATACTGTATTACTGTTTACTAAACATCTTCCAAATACTGCATCACACTGTAACGGTGATACCAACCTAAGAAACTTTTCAAATTGCTAGAGAACTCGAGCATCATACTTGAAACAAATACCTCTTTGATTTTCCTTGTGTTTGCTTGAACCACTATAGAAATATGTTGCAAATAAGTGTCAAATATGCGTAATAATTTGCCAGATGAATTAAAGTTTTTAACTTATTGAATTAAAAAAATAAAGTTTTGTGTCCTAAATGAGTCCAGTTATATTACACCATGTGTTTCCCTGAATCTCCATGGGGAAGCAGGGCAGAATTCTTCCTCCATAAGCCATGCGTGTCATAAGAGGTGACTAAAATATCGGGAGCAAGGGGCTAGTAACCCCTTCTCCTGTATGTACTATTGGTAAAGTTAAAAAGAGAAACTTTAGTTTTTCTTTTTGGGTCACCCTGCCTCAGTGGGATACAGCCAGTTTGTTGAAAGAAGAATATTTCCCTTCAACAAACTTTAATACAAGTCTTGAAATGAATAAATTTACTTCAGGGAAAATTCGAGATTCTCCCCGGAGCATTTCTAGGTTATGAATTTCACCATGCTCCTCAATTTTTTAATTTTAATGCTATCTCCAACCATTATTACATCATTACTTTATTTGCTTTTTAATCCTCTTGGCATTAAATTAAAAATTTAAATATATTTTACTAAATGTGTATTCAATTTTCATTAATATTGCCATATAATGTATTATAGTATATTGTTTTAGTATAAAGGAAAGAGCAAGGTGATGAGGATAAAATATTTAGGTAAGGAAAGACTGGATAACAGATTGGAGGGAGGGAATATGGAGGAAGTGAATGTATTCAGATATTCGGAAGTGGACTTTTCAGGAGATGGGGCTGTGAAAGATGAGATGAATCATAGAATTGATGAGGGGGAAAAAGGTGAGTGGTGTACATAGGAGTCTGTGGAGACAAAGAATGTTATCCATAGAAGCAAAGAGGAGAATGTATGAGAGTACAGTGGACCCTCGACCAACGCTGGCATCGTATAACGTTAAATCCGACTAGCGATACATTTTAACGCAAAAATTTTGCCTCGACTAGCGCTAAAAAACTCGACCAACACGATTCGTTCCGTTCGAGACGCGCCTCACTTGTCCCGTGGGTGCCAGTGTTTACAAGCCAGCCACCGTGGTCGCATCCAAGCATACAATCGGAACATTTCATATTATCACAGTGTTCTTAGTGATTGCACCTGCAAAATAAGTCACCATGAGCCCCAAGAAAGCTTCTAGTGCCAACCCTACAACAAAAAGGGTGAGAATCACTATGGATATGAAGAAAGAGATCGTTGCTAAGTATGAAAGTGGAGTGCATGTCTCTGACCTGGCCAGGTTGTACACAAAACCCCAATCAACCATCGCTACTATTGTGCAAAAAAACGGCAATCAAGGAAGCTGTTCTTGCCAAAGGTGCAACTATGTTTTCGAAACTGAGATCGCAAGTGATAGAAGATGTTGAGAGACTGTTATTGGTGTGGATAAACGAGAAACAGATAGCAGGAAATAGCATCTCTCAAGCGATCATATGTGAAAAGGCTAGGAAGTTGCATGACGATTTAATTAAAAAAATGCCTGCAACTAGTGGTGATGTGAGTGAATTTAAGGCCAGCAAAGGTTGGTTTGAGAGATTTAAGAATTGTAGTGGCATACATAGTGTGATAAGGCATGGTGAGGCTGCCAGTCCGGACCACAAAGCGGCTGAAAAATATGTGCAGGAATTCAAGGAGTACATAGAAGCTGAAGGACTGAAACCTGAACAAGTGTTTAATTGTGACAAATAGGCCTGTTTTGGAAGAAAATGCCAAGCAGGACCTACATTACTCAGGAGGAAAAGGCACTCCCAGGACATAAGCCTATGAAAGACAGGCTTACTCTGTTGATGTGTGCTAATGCTAGTGGTGATTGCAAAGTGAAGCCTTTATTGGTGTATCACTCTGAAACTCCCAGAGTGTTCAGGAAAAACAATGTCCTCAAGGCTAATTTGTGTGTGCTGTGGAGGGCAAACAGTAAGGCATGGGTCACTAGGGACTTTTTCCGTGACTGGTTACACCATGCATTTGCCCCCACTGTGAAAAATTACCTCCTGGAAAATAAATTGGACCTTAAGTGCCTCCTAGTATTAGACAATCCTCCTGGTCATCCTTCAGACTTGGCAGAGCGACTTTCTGGGGACATGAGCTTCATCAAGGTCAAGTTTTTGCCTCCTAATACCACTCCTCTCCTGTAGCCCATGGACCAGCAGGTCATTGCAAACTTCAAAAAACTCTACACAAAAGCTATGTTTGAAAGGTGCTTTGTAGTGACCTCAGAAACTCAATTGACTCTAAGAGAGTTTTGGAGAGATCACTTTAGCATCCTCAATTGTGTAAACATTATAGGCAAGGCTTGGGAGGAAGTGACTAAGAGGACCTTGAACGCTGCTTGGAAGAAACTGTGGCCAGAATGTGTAGACAAAAGGGATTTTGAAGGATTTGAGGCTAACCCTGAGAAGCTTATGCCAGTTGTGGAATCAATTGTGGCATTGGGGAAGTCCTTGGGGTTGGAGGTTAGTGGGGAGGATGTGGAAGAGTTGGTGGAGGAGGACAATGAAGAACTAACCACTGATGAGCTGCAAGATCATCTTCAACAGCAAGAGGCCAGACCTGAGGAAACTGCTTCGGAGGAGGGGAGAGAGAAATTGAAGAAGTTGTCTACTTCAAAGATTAAGGAAATGTGTGCAATGTGGCTTAAAGTGCAAACCTTTTTTGATGAAAATCACCCTCAGACAGCTACTGCAAGCCGTGTTGGCAACCTGTACAATGACACTGTTGTGAACCACTTTAGGAAAGTCATAAAGGAAAGAGAGGTACAGGCCTCTATGGACAGATATGTTGTGCGACAGAAGTCCAGTGACTCTCAAGCTGGTCCTAGTGGCATTAAAAGAAGAAGGGAAGTAACCCCAGAAAAGGACTTGCCCCCTCTAAACACTAACACCATCCACACTCTCCCCTCCTCCCATCCCATTAATCATCACCAGATCTTCAATAAAGGTAAGTGTCATGTAATTGTACATGTCTTCAGTTTGTGTGTATTAAAATTAATATTCCATGTGGTAAAAAATTTTTTTTTCAATACTTTGGGGTGTCAGGAACGGATTAATTTGATTTCCATTATTTCTTATGGGGAAAATTAACTCGACTAACGATGAGCTCTCAGTGTAATACATTGGTCGAGGGTCCACTGTATAGTGGTACCAATGCTCTTATGCGGGTGTGAAGCATGAGTGGTGAATGTTGCAGTCACAGCTAGCAGTAACAGCCTCGTTGATTAGGCCCTGATCCACCAGGAGACCTGGTTGTGGACTGGGCAGCGGGGACAGTTGATCCCTAGAATGCCCTCCAGGTAGACTCCATGTAGACTACTTTGACTTTGATTTTGTGTTGCAATTCTCGAAGGATACAGAATGCATGCAGCATTTTTTAAATGAAGTACGTATTAATACTGCTCATCTTAAAAATATTATAAAACTTAAAAAAAAAAATATTTTTAATGATAATCAGAGATGTGTTTTTATGCATTCTGAAACTGAAGATGTATAAAGTTGATATGCAAATACAAGAAAAATAGATGAAACTTGTTATATCCTACATTTTGTGCAGTTTTTATATATGTTCATTACTGTATACATATACCACTAACTTTATTTTAAGTGTTTATTAGTATTAATGCAAAAATACTGTATATAAAAAACATTTATGGATTTGGAAAAGGCATATGACAGGGTGGATAGGGGGGCAGTGTGGCAGATGTTGCAGGTGTATGGTGTAGGAGGTAGGTTACTGAAAGCAGTGAAGAGTTTTTATGAGGATAGTGAGGCTCAAGTTACAGTATGTAGGAAAGAGGGAGATTATTTCCCAGTAAAAGTAGGCCTTAGATAAGGATGTGTGATGTCACTGTGGTTGTTCAATATATTTATAGATGCAGTTGTAAGAGAAGTGATTGCAAGGGTCTTGGCAAGAGGTGTAGAATTAAAAGATAAAGAATCAAATACAGAGTTGGAGTTGTCATAGTTGCTTTTTGCTGATGACACTGCTCTTGGGAGATTCTGAAGAGAAGTTGCAGAGGTTGGTTGATGAACTTGGTAGGGTATGTAAAAGAAGAAAATTAAAAGTGAATATAGGAAAGAGTAAAGTTATGAGGATAAAAAGATTAGGTGATGAAAGATTGGATATCAAATTGGAGGGAGAGAGTATGGAGGAGGTGAATATATTCAGATATTTGGGAGTGGATGTGTCAGCAGATGGGTCTATGAAAGATGAGGTGAATCATAGAATTGATGAGGGGAAAAGGGTGAGCGGTGCACTTAGGAGTCTGTGGAGACAAAGAACTTCGTCCTTGGAGGCAAAGAGGGGAATGTATGAGAGTATAGTTTTACCAATGCTCTTATATGGGTGTGAAGCATGGGTGATGAATGTTGCAGCAAGGAGAAGGCTGGAGGCAGTGGAGATGTCATGTCTGAGGGCAATGTGTGGTGTGAATACAAGGCAGAGAATTCGTAGTTTGGGAGTTAGAAGGAAGTGCGGGATTGCCAAAACTGTTGTCCAGAGGGTTGAGGAAAGGTTGTTGAAGTGGTTTGGACATGTAGAGAGAATGGAATGAAACAAAATGACTTTGAGAGTGTATAAATCTGTAGTGGAGGGAAGGCGGGTTAGGGGTCGGCCTAGGAAAGATTGGAGGGAGGGGGTAAAGGAGGTTTTGTGTGCAAGGGGCTTGGACTTCCAGTAAGCATGTGTGAGCGTATTTGATAGGAGTGAATGGAGACAAATGGATTTTAATACTTGACGTGCTGTTGGAGTGTGAGCAAAGTAACATTTATGAAGGGATTCAGGAAAACCGGCAGGCCAGACTTGAGTCCTGGAAATGGGAAATACAGTGTCTGCACTCTGAAGGAAGGGTGTTAATGTTGCAGTTTTATAAACTGTAGTGTAAAGCACCCCTCTGGCAAGACGGTGATGGAGTGAATAATGATGAAACTTTTTCTTTTTCGGGCCACCCTGCCTTGGTGGGAATCGGCTGATGTGTTAATGATAAATAATGATACAAAAAACAAAAAGTAATGAAAATTATATTTGAATGAATGAAGAGCTATCAGTGGAATCATATATTGCATCATATCTTAAAATGTGACAATTCTTCTCTTTGCATATTTATATAAGCACTAAAATATAAGTACATACAGTATTTTATAATGTACATTATGAGTACAGTTGTTTGGACACTTGAAATTTGTTTGTCTTTTAGTTCAGTCTGTAATTTAATTCTATATTTAATTATATATTTGCCATCTAGAGTGACATCTGAACTGTTGTATCTGCATGCTTCTGCAAAGACAGTGATAGTGTGAATAATGGTGAAAGTGTTTCTTTTTTGAGTTACCCTTCCTCAGTGGGAGATGGCCAGTGTGTTAAAAAATCAGCATTATCATGCCTCTATAAATGATGATCATGCTAGATCATACAATGTGATCATTCATCATGAAGTAGATATTAAAAGTACAATACAATATGGTAAACACTTGGTATGGTGTTACAAATTATTTTTCTAGTTTTATTTTGCCTCCTATCATATTTTAACATTATTGGATATTAAACTGATAAACAATACATACTTGCATAGTATATATTCATCATCTGCTGTCAGTTTGTAAGTTGGTTAAATTCTAAGTCATTATGCATAGTGTCTGAATATAATATTTTAGTACATTATTCACATATACAGTAATCACATTGTCCAAAAAAGTCAGAGGCATTTGAAATAATTGATGAGTTTCCATTTCCCTAACACTTGCCTTGTAATTTATAACAGCAATTTCCGATTGAAAAAAATTGAAGTTTCTCTTAATTATGTAAAGTTGTTTGTAATATTGATGATATTAATGATATGATTTAAAACAGATATCTGCTAATAACAGTTGGTCTGGTATATATAAAAACAAATGAAACCTGCAAACGTGACATCTTGAAGGATCTGGTTGAGATGTGCCGAGGAGTTCAGCATCCCCTTCGTGGACTGTTCTTGAGGTACGTTGAAGCTTGGCCCAATATATTCTCTAATTTTTTGATGGCTTCACTGTGTATGGATTGATGAATATTGATGTAGACCAGTGTTTCCCAAGCTGGGCAGTACTTTTTTTGCAACCTAGTGTGTATTTTTAAATATAGTGGAACCTCAACTTACGAGTGTCCCAACATACAAATTTTTCGAGATACAAGCCGTCTCTCGGTCGATTTTTTGCTCCGAGTTACGAGCCAGCTTCCCCCGCTTCCCCCTTCAACCCACAACCCGCACACCTCGCTTGTTTATCTATGATTTCATGCTTTAATTCTATGGAAATCATCCTCTTTTTCTGCTCAGCACTGTCCTTTGCACTTACTTTCTTAGGACCCATGATTAGAAACAAGAAATTTGGTGAAATAACTGCAGAAAATGGAAGGAAATCACAAGAAAATTTCCTCCCACAGCGAGGTAAACAGTGCCCTGTGCCAGCCAGCGTCAAGGTTCCTTGACGCTGGTGAGAGGCTCTTGATCTAGGGAATCAGATCTGTGCTCCAGTTCCCTAAATTAATAAATGGGAAGTACAATGCCTGCACTTTAAAGGAGGGGTTTGGGATATTGGCAGTTTGGAGGGATATGTTGTGTATCTTTATATGTGTATGCTTCTAGACTGTTGTATTCTGAGCACCTCTGCAAAAACAGTGATAATGTGCGAGTGTGGTGAAAGTGTTGAATGATGATGAAAGTATTTTCTTTTTGGGGATTTTCTTTCTTTTTTTTGGGTCACCCTGCCTCGGTGGGAAACGGCCAACTTGTTGAAAAAAAAAAAATAAAAAATAATAATAATTATTATTACAGTCATATGTACGTACTACTACTACTACTACTACTACTACTAATAATAATAATAATAATAATAATAATACAATATAATAGTACACGAAATACAGTGGTCCCTCGCTTTTTGTAGTTCTCGGCAATCGTAAATTTCGCCAATCATAGGGGTATTTTCGTATAAACATGGACTCGCTTTTCATAGGTTGACTCCGAATAGTAGTTCGTCCGGGACGCGTACGCACAGTGTGAGCCGGGGCAGCCTCCCTACCCAGCCAGTCTGGCATTGTTTACCAGTGAGTGAAGGTCCCCTCAAGTGCTCCTACGAAATATTTCATAATATTCCACTCATTTTAGTGCTTGCAATTACTAAATAAGCTATCATGGCTCCAAAGAAAGTCCTAGTGCCAAGCCTGTGGTAAAGAAGGTGAGAAATATGTACAGTGACAAAGTCTTGGGCCATTTTTAAGGAAGTGTTAAAGAGACGCCAGAAACAGAGCTCTCTCCACGGTTACTTTGCGAGACAGGACTAGAGTGACTCTCAAGGTGGTCCTAGTGGCATTAAGAAACAGAGAAGAGAAGCAACCCCAGAGAAGCAATTGGTACCTGAGGTGTTGCTGGAAGAGGATTCCCCTTCCAAACTGTAAACAATCCAATCTCTCTCCTCCTCCAGTCTCCCATACACTAAGAAGAATCTCCAATAAAGGTAAGTGTTATGCTGTTAATGTTTCATTCATCATTTCCCATTGTATTGTTTATGTACAGTGGACCCCCGCATAACGATGGCATCACATAGCGATTAATCCGCATACCGCTTGTTTTAATCGCAAAAATTTTGCCTCACATATCACTTAAAAACCCGCTCACCGATTTTCGTCCGAGACGCGTCCAATGTGCGGCCTGAGCCACGCTCACATGTTCCGCCGGTGGCATTGTTTACCAGCCAGCCTCCGCGGTAACATCCAAGCATACAATCGGAATATTTCGTATTATTACAGTGTTTTCGGTGCTTTTTCTGGAAAATAAGTGACCATGGGCCCCAAGAAAGCTTCTAGTGCCAACCCTACAGCAATAAGGGTGAGAATTACAATAGAGATGAAGAAAAAGATCATTGATAAGTATGAAAGTGGAGTGCGTGTCTCCGAGCTGGCCAGGTTGTATAATAAACCCCAATCAACCATCGCTACTATTGGTGGTACAGCTGCTGCTGCTGCTGCACTGTCAGCTGCTGCTGCTGCTGCACTGTCAGCTGCTGCTGCTGCTGCACTGTCAGCTGCTGCTGCTGCTGCACTGTCAGCTGCTGCTGCTGCTGTAGCATTGTCTGCTGCTGCTGTAACATCGTCTGTTGCTGCTGTAGCATCGTCTGTTGCTGCTGTACCACCGTCAGCTGCTGCTGCTGCTGCTGTAGCACCGTTGTTGGTGTGGCTTATTGAGAATACCAAGAAACAATTAACCCCAGAGGATTTGCCACCCAGGATAACCCAAAAAAGTCAGTGTCATCGAAGACTGTAACTTATTTCCATTGGGGTCCTTAATCTTGTCTCCCAGGATGCAACCCACACCAGTCGACTAACACCCAGGTGAACAGGGAAAAATGCCTGGAACTAGTGCTCATATTGGTGAATTTAAAGCCAGCAAAGGTTGGTTTGAGAGATTTAAGAATCGTAGTGACATACACAGTGTGATAAGGCCTGTTCTGGAAGAAAATGCCAAACAGGACCTACAGTACTCAGGAGGAAAAGGCACTCCAGGACACAGTGTCTCATCAGTCATTGCTGCATCTTCAATAAAGGTAAGTGTCATTTATTCTTCATTCAGTAGACTAGTACATGCACAATATATACTGTGCATGTACTACTCTACTATTGTGCATGTATCCTTCTCTTTGTGTGTGGGAAAATGTATATTTCATGTGGTAAAATTTTTTTTTTCATACTTTTGGGTGTCTTGCACGGATTAATTTGATTTCCATTATTTCTTATGGGGAAAATTCATTCGCATACCGATTATTTCGCATAACAATTACCCCTCTTGCACGGATTAAAATCGTTATGCGGGGGTCCACTGTACTATATGTATATTTCATGTAAAAAATATTTTTGTTTTAAAACTTCTGGGTGTCAGGAACGGATTAATTGTATTTACATTATTTCTTATGGGGAAAACTGATTCGCAAATCGTAAATTTCATTTATAGTAGCTCCTCGAGGAAAGGATTAATTACGAAAAACGAGGGACCACTGTAATAACAATAAGGAGAAGGCTGCCACTAGTTGGCACCGTGAACAGCAAAACACCTGGTGAGCAGTGGACATGTTTACCTCGCTCTGGGAGGATATTATGTTGTGGTTTCCTTCTATTTTCTGCAGTTACTTTGCCAATATTTTTTTCTAACTATGGGTCCTAAGAAAGTAAGTGCAAAGGACAGTGCTGAGAAGAAAAAGAGGATGATTTCCATGGAATTAAAGCATAAAATCATAGATAAACATAAGCAAGATGTACGAGTTATTGACTTAGCCAGACAACATCAACGTAGTACATCTACAGTATGTACGATACTAAAGCAGCAAGGCTGCTTTAGAATCATACAATAATTTCTAAGCGTAGCGTTAAAAGTGTAGCAAGTATCAGTGAAGAGTGAAGTGAAAAAAAAATTGTTAAACAAATTGTAGCAGTTAAGTTCAGCATTAAGAGTGTAGCAAGTAAGTTAAGCGATGAAGCGATAGAAAAAGGATGAAACTAACTCCTCCACTGTTGTTGGAGGTTTATAAGGCCACTGACAACATACGCTGCCCTGCTTATCTTCTACCACCCTCCAGTGCAGTTAGCCTCCCAAGCACTCTGTTTTCTCTTATAACAGGAGCATGGGAAGATATGTAGTCAGAGCAGGAGGGGGAATGGATGCTGCTGCTGACACCACTAGTCACATACGTAATGACATATTTTATTCATTCTAGAGTATGTATCATGTTTCTGTGTTAACCCTTTGAGGGTCAACAGGCCCTCTCCGAGACTTGTTCTCAGGGTCGGCCAAATTTAAAAAAAAAAATTATTTTTCTTATGAAAAAATAGAGAATCTTTTCCCGATCATAATGACACCAAAAGTATGAAATTTGATGGAAAACTTACGGAATTATGCTCTCGCGAAGGTAGCGGTCTCGACAACGTTTACGCATCGGCGATTTTTGCCCAATTTGAGCCCTATTTTCGGCCAATTCCAGTGTACTAGTCGACAAAAATCATAACTGTTTCTCTAGAACTCCATTTTTTCTATTGAATGAGTATAAGAAACCACCCATTTACTGATTTCAACTATCCAATACAGTGGTTAGAATTTAGCAATTTTGCCATTTTCACACAAATTTCAAAAGATGCCAATTTCCAAATAGGGTCCAGAATAAACAAGAAAAACATTCCTGGCACTAAAATAACATTTCCTCTGTTCGTTAGTCACATCCCCAGGCCCCTCTTATATTTCTTTGGCTTTCCACTTTCAATTTTTATTCGTACAAAAAATAGAAGATTTATTGTTATGCAGACTGCTGCATTAATGTAGAAATGTTATAAATAATATCAGCGCACTTGTGAAAGAATATTAGACTCACCAGTTGACGTGTATTGGACGCTTGGCATGATTTGTTTACTTTTGAACTTTGGTAAAAATCGAACATTGCTGCTACTTTGAGCTCAATTTCAAGGTACTTTTCATTGTAAAACCAGTCAAAATCATCTCAATTTCTGTAATATGTCTTCCATTCTATAAAATGAGACCAAGAAAACTAGAATACAAGAATAGATACCATACGAAAATACAGTGCAAAGTCGCTGTTTTATTCCAAAAGCACGGTCAAAGTTTTTTTTTTTATTATTATGCACTGTGTGCTACAGGATTTTTTTTATACTGCGCACACTGACCACATAGACCCATTCTTTCATATGTATGCCTACCAGCTTTCTCCCACTAGATTTGAGGGCGCTAGAATTTATGCGTTCTAGTATGTCAAAAAACCCTGGGTCGTAAGCCGTACTAGTACGGCCGAAACCCTCAAAGGGTTAATTATATTGTTTATTATGTCATACTAGATGAATTGTGATAGTTAAGTAAGCCGTAGAGTTGACATTAGCATCATATTCAAATATTTTGTCCTGCCTCCAGAGAGCAGGAACTTCGCTGGAATGGATTAATGGCATTTCAGTTAATTTAACCCTTAAACTGTCCAAATGTAGATCTACGTTTGCACACGTAGCGCTCCGACCTTGATTTTCTCCATAAGAAAGCATGTTAAAAAACGTAGATCTACGTTTGGACAGTTTAAGGATTAAATGAGGAAAGTTGATTTGTTATACAAGCAAATTGAGTTACGAGCTAGGTCACGAAACGGATTGAACTCATAAATCAAGGTTCCACTGTATTTGTTATTTGCCTTTGCAGTTCGGTTTTATTGCATAATCATTATATACTAGTTTAAGCAAACTTAAAATAAGGATATTTTCAGAATTCTTATTTAAAATAAAATTTATTCACGAGGCATCAGCCCTCATTGTTCAGTAAAGGGCACTGGGCAATTTTTTTTAAAAAAATACTGGATTAGATTCATTAAGTCACTGTTGGTCATGACTTAAAAATCTTGTGAACTAATTACCATATATAATTAGAACTTAACTAATGGGTATTAATTACTTGTACTACAGAGCTATTAATTGATGATTTTTTCTGGCTTTCAGGAATTACCTTCTTCAGTGCAGTCGTAATATTTTGCCAGACATTGATGACCCTCCTGCTGGACACAACCCAGAAGAATATCCATCAGGTTCTGTAAGTACTGTGTATGAATGATGGAGAATGTATGATGGACAGTACCATATATCATTTTCCTCATAAGTATATTATGTTTGTTCATTTATACTTACTGCATTAATCGTCTCTTGATTTTTTGTAATCTGAGTTTATCAAATCAGCACAATTTTGTTACATATGGCAACTGCTTTTTTTTTTTTTTTTTCAAAAAAAAAAAATCTTGTCACTACCAAAGACTTCTGATTGCTTAAAATATTATGCCTTGGTAGGAAACATCCATTGTTAAAAAAAGAAAATAAAATCATTGTCTAGACTTTGTATATAAATTTATGTATGCACTCTGAAGGAGATGTGGGAAAGTTGCAGTTGGATAAACTGATTGGGATGTCAGCTCTCTTCTGGAAAAATAGTGATTGAATGAATGATGATGAATGTTCCTTCCACATCTACTAGGAAAATGATAGGATGGAAACAAGAACCTCCAAAACTAGGGATGCCAAATCCATGATGATTCTCTTCAAATCGCTTGTTCTCTCTAGGCTGGAATATTGCTTTTCACTAATAGCTCCTTTCATGTCAGGCAAAACTGCAGACCTGGAGAATATACAGAGAACTTTCACCGCATGTATAAGTACCCTAAAGCACCAAAATTACTGGGAATGGTTGAAGTCCCTTGACCTGTACTCCTTGGAACACAAGCAAGAAAGATAAATGATAATACACACTTGGAATATCCTAGAGGGATTAGTCCCAAATCTGCACATGGAAATCTCTTCCTATGAAAGCAAAAGACTCAGCAGGTAGTGCAACATATCCCCCATTGAAAAGCAGGGATGCCATGAGTATGCAAAGAGGCAACACAGTAAGTGTTGAGGGCCCAAGACTGTTTAACTGCCTCCCAGCATATATAAGGGGGATTACCAATAGACCCCTAGCTATCTTCAGGAGGAAGCAAGACAGACACCCAAAGTCAGTACCTGACCAGCCGGGCTGTGGTTTGTACCTCAGTTTGCATACTGCCAGCAGTAACAGCCTGCTTGATCAGGCCATGATCCACCACGAGGCCTGGTCATGGACCAGGTCACAGAAGTGGTGACCCTCGGAACACCCTCCAGGTACACCCTGTTTTGGCAGGAGGCAGCCAATAAGTTAAACAAAAAATTGTGCATGATATTCATATACATGGCTCTCAAACATGACATTTCTGTTGCCTCAAGCCTCCTTTTCACTGCAGCATTCAAAACCCATGCTTCACACCCATATAAGTGTTAGTATTACTATACTTTGGTACAGCCTTATTTTGCCTACATAGAGAAACTTCTTTCCACAGATAATTCAACACACCACTCATCTTTTTTACCTAATCTATTTTGTGGTTTGCCTCATCTTTCATAGACTCATCTGCTGATATGTCTGCTCTCAGATATCTAAATAGATCCACTAACCCCATACTCCATCCTCCTGATCTGAAATTCAGTCTTTTATTGCCTAGACTTTTTATTATTTTCTTCATTTTGCTTTTTTCTGTGCTTGCTTTTAATTTCTTTTTTACATACCCTGTTATGTTTGTCTACCAACCTTTGTAACTTGTCTTCAGAATTCCCTAAAAGAACTGTCATCAGCTACCCAAGTGTTACCTAATATTCAGCAGTTGCATCAGTTACATCTCTTAAGTAGTGTTTGTCCATAAAATATTGCTACCACTTGCTAGAGACACATTTGCTTTTCTGTTTACATCTTACCGTCTTGTTCTGCCTCTGAGGGTATGAAAGGCCAGCCTCTCCTGTCACAACTGGGAAAGAATAAACTGGATTACAGTGGGGCCCAGACTTCCAGCAGTCCAATTTAGATTGATGTGGCTTAGAAATGAGGTCCGGAAGATATAATATTGAGAAAATATTCACTTTTTTGAATGCTGATCTGCAGTTACAAATATGTATGACACACAACCACCATTTTTTTTGTTTTAATGTTAAACTTTCTAGAAAAATAATTTTAGGGTAACCTACGATTTGGTCATAAGTTGAAACACCAAGAATGCAACTCGTTCATAAATTGTAAGTTGGGGCTCTACTACTGTATTATACTGTATCTTAGTCCATAATTCCACATGTGGGGAAAAAAAGAATGAGAGTAATCACTCGGTATATTTTCTTCACATAATTCTGTCATGTCACTAATTTTAAACATGTATTACACAGATCTCAGATAGTGTTGACTTTATCTTGATGAACTTCGCTGAGATGAACAAGTTATGGGTGAGGATGCAGCACCAGGGACATTCCCGAGACAAAGAAAAAAGGGAGCGCGAGAGGCAGGAGTTGCGCATCTTAGTGGGCACTAACCTGGTTCGCTTGTCTCAACTTGAGTTTGTTGATGTGCAGAGATATAAGAGGGTAAGTACAACACAGCATCTGTAAAATTACTCTTTTGAAGGGTTGGATCATTTTTTTTTAATATTGTAGTCTTAAAACCCATTTACAAAAAAAAAAAAAAAGCATACAGGTCTCCCTCAACATTCACGTTTTCAACTTTCACGGGCTTCACACATTCGCGAATTCCCAACCGCCAAATTCCCAGCCACCAAATTCCCAGCCGCCAAATCATATTTAAGTTTCCCGCCACCTGCGAGTCCCTACTACCCTCCCTCCGACCCCTGCAACTGGCAGCCAGCCCTCCCACCACTCAGTGTGGTGAGTGTTTTGTTTGTTCATTATTTGCTATTAAACTACAGTATAAATAATGTAAACCCATTCATGACTGCATATTGGAATGGCTATTCGGACAGGTATTAGACGGTGACATCATGTGTTTACTCTTGAACACTGCAAAGAATTAAACATTTCTGCTACAGCTAATGATAACAATAGTAATAATAATAATAATAAATATGATATAATTGAAGAAGGAAATTGTACAAAAATACGAGGGAGTGGTTGACACATGGTCAGTGTGACTTTGTTTATGCTGGAGTGAACATTAGTCTCCCTGCTCTTCCAAACATTTCACAATAATTCATTGTGTTTGGTGCTTGTAGATTGAGTGTGACTGAAGTGGTAGAGGCAGTGATTGAGGCAATGGTATTTAATAACATACATGTTAATAATAATACATGTTATTAATAATATGTACTATTATTATTTATAACATGTATGTTATTAAATACATACATGTTAATAATAATACATGTTATTAATAATAACATGTACTATTATTATTTATAACATATATGTTATTAAATACCGCTGCCTCAACCGCTGAATTATTGTGAAATGTTTGGAAGAGCATGGAGACTAATGTTCACTCCAGCATAAACAAAATCACAATGACCATGTGTCAACCACTTCCTCCACCACTGCTTCAGCCCTCGTATTTTTGTACAATTTCCTTCTTCATTGATATCGTATTTATTATTATTATTATTATTATTATTATTATTATTATTATTATTATTATTACTCTTGTTATTATTAGCAATAGCAGATATGTTCGATTCTTTGCTGTGTTTAAGAGTAAACACATGATGTCACCGTCTAATACCTTTCCTAATAGCCATTCCAATATGCAGTCATAAATGGGTTTACATTATTTATTCTGTAGTTTAGCAAATAATGAACAAACAAAACACTCACCACACTGAGTGGTGGGAGGGCTGGCTGCCAGTTGCAGGGGTCGGAGGGAGGGTAGTAGGGACTCGCAGTGGTGGAGTCTGTGGTATTTAATAACATACATGTTATTAACATACATGTTATTAAATAACATACGTTATTAAAGCATAACATGTGTATATTTAGTACAATTTATGATGTTTTCATGTATTTTTATGATTATTCATGGTTCAACAAGTTAAGGAAGCAGTATTGTAATATATTTCCCTACAATATATTGAGGCACCAAACAGTCACAGTTTTTCAACATTCGCGAGGCTCTTGATCCCCTAACCCTCGCGAATGTTGAGGGAGACCTGTATTTACATTTTTTACTGAGAGGGTACTAGAATAGTGAAATGTTATTAAATAAAATGGTACAATAAGAGTTGGGAAAATGTTTGATTTGGAAACAGGTACTGTAGAGCTCAGATCCTTATGGGTAGGTGCAATGCATCTATATCAATTGCTGTATTGTTGATTCCTTCAGCTCCTAAATTTCATTTAGCTCTTCAGTTTTCACAGAGGATAGTTATTTTGTAATGTGTTCAGGATATGCATGTGTGCAAAGCTAAGATAACCACTGTTCCTTACTCTAGTTGCTGCTTGGGCAAGGGGTGCGGTACAAACACAGCAATCGTAGCAGGTTTAAATAAGTACCATATGACAATTTACTGTATATCAGGTGAATATTTTAGGTCTCTAGTTACAAATGTACTAATAGATTGGTAGACTGCAGCCATCTAGGGAGGGACTGCTGTCCTCTCATATACACATGAAATGGAAATCTGACCTTTATGACTGTGGAGAGACAACAACACCATCTTATGGAGACAGAAAAGAAAACACTGTCTTGTGAAGAAAGAAAAGAAAATACTGTCTTATGGATACAGTATGTTGGGGAGATTGTTCGCTACATATACTTCACTGAAATTAAAGTAGGCAGCTGACATATGGTACCTATATTTATGAAACTTAAAAAAAAAAAATGGTTTACTATGTAATAAAAAACACAAACAGTTTAATATGTAATAAAAAAACACAAACAGTTTAACATATAATAACTTGGATTCTAGTGAATCAAAAATATGAACTAAGAAATGTAAATTATGAAGCAAAACTGAAAATACTCAGTTGTCCGATTGCGAATGAAGGATTGAACCTTCTATCACTCCATGTGCTTTTTAACCTACTCAGTTTTATTGCTTAAATAAACAACAACAACAATAATAATAATAGTGTAATAAATAATTTGCAGTTTTAAACTGTAGTACTGGCATCCCTCTGGCAACACAGTGATGGAGTGAGTGATAGTGAAAGTATTTCTTCTTGTTTTGGGTTACCCTACTTCAGTGGGACACTGTCGGTTTATTGAAAAAATAATTATAATAATACCATATAATAATTGTAGTACCTCTAGATTTGGTCTACTTTCTCACCATTTTCTTCAGAACATTTGTTTACCTGCTTCCTTGTTGACCTATTTTTTTCATTTCATTGCATATGAGCAAATGACCTTGGATATTATTTTCTTTATTAAGTAGCACACTAAATTTCCAGATGGTTCTTCCGGGGATCTTGGAACAAGCTGTTAGCTGCCGTGATCCACTTTCTCAAGAATATTTGATGGAGTGCATCATTCAGGTGAACGAAATATATGGTATTGTGTAATGTAGTTTTAATGGACCATAGCTATTAGTTTTAATATACGTAGTTTTGTTGTAAAATGAAACTGAAAAACCTTAAACAAATAGGATGGAGCCAAGGGGTAAAGGACGTTTTGTGTGTTAAATAGGAGTGAATAGAGACAAATATGTTTTGAGACTTGATGAGCTGTTGGAGTACGAGCAGGGTAATGTTTTGAGAAGGGATCAGGGAAACCAGTTAGCCGGAATTGAGTCTTGGAGTGGGAAGTACAATGCTTGCACTCTAAAGAAGGAGTTTTGAGATATTTGCTGTTTAGAGGGACATCTAAATTGTTGTATCTGCATACCTCTGGCAAGACAGTGATAATACAAATGATGATGAAAGTGTTTCTTTTTTCAGGTCACCCTGCCTTGGTGGAAGACTGCCAGTGTATTAAAAAAAAAAATAGCTTTTCTCAGCAGATAGCCTCTGCTGTCTGGCTGTTACATGTTCTCCCATGTATTTGTTTTCTATAGAAGACAGAAATGACTTTTTTTTTTTCTGATTAAGTATCATCCATATTGACACAATAGAAGTTCATCCTTAGACTGATAAAAAGATGAAAATCACAGAACTGGTAATTATGCTGAAATGGTCTTGACATAATTTTGGAAAGTAGTTCTCAATTCTATAATAGCTACTGTGTTTACTTTCCATTATAGGAACCCTAGCCTTGCTTTCTTTTTAATTAACATCATTATGGTAGGGAAGCAGATATCTTTAACCAAACATTTGAATGTTTCCAACACATACTGGAGTTATTTGCACAGGACTGTAGTGATTCCTTATACAAGATACAAGATTCCAGAAGGCTTGAGGTTTTCTAACACACTAACACATTTTTACCTGGATACAACCCACGAGATTCAGTTAATACACGTGTACCGATTTTTATTGCTAGGTGGGCAGGGATGGAAAGAAACTTGATTAAGAAATCTGTCTTAAGAAAGCTTGACCAGGAAATCAAACCCAAGATCTTGCAAATCCTGAGTTGAATGCCTGCACCAGTGAGCTATGCAGTTCCTTGAAGGCCTGGTCTGAGACCATGCCATGGGGGGGGGGGGAGGGTCACAGTGATCACCAGCATCATTTTCAGATACATTTAATTATCTTTTAACTTTCATAGAAATATCTACTCCATGTTTGTAAGACATGAAAATATATATCATGACTGACTTGCTTTTTCAGGAATAAAATAATAAAGAATATGTCCTGCAAGTTGTATTGTCATTTACTATTACTGGTACTTTTGTCTCCCCAAACTAGGTGTTCCCAGATGAGTTTCACCTTCAGACACTTAGTGCATTTCTGAAAGCCTGTGCTGAGCTCCATGCTGAAGTCAATGTCAAGAATATCATCATCTCTCTTATTGATCGTCTGGCTAACTTTGCTCATCGCGAAGATGGAACTGGAATCCCCGATGATATCAAGTTATTTGAGATCTTCTCGGAGCAAGTATCTCAAGTTATTAAGGTAATGAATCTAAAGAATATATAGTATTGTTTTACGCCCTTAGTTGACCGTTGCAATGATAACACTCAATTTTGTTTATTATCAGCAGTTTATAACTGTTGAGAAAAGTGTCGTTAGGTAAAAGGACACAAGTGCAACTAATGTGACATTTTATTGTGGCAACGTTTCACTCTCCAGGAGCTTTGTCAAGCCATTACGGTGTGACAAAGCTCAATAAAATGTCACATTAGTTGCACTTGTGTCTTTTTACCTAACATATTGTCTCATGCATGAGTGATTACAGTCTAAGTAAGGAATTGCTGATAAGCCAGGTTTATCTTCTAGGGTAATATCTTTTCCTCTTATCAGTCAACAAAAGCATTTTTAGTATTCTTCCTAACTCTTTTTACCTTGTACAGTCATGTTGTAAGCGTGTCGTTGTATTTTATTTACTGGTATTTGATTTTTCAGTGGCAGTCTTTTGTTTATGAATCTAAATCCTCATCTTCCTCTCTCTCTCTCTCTCATACTTTAAGTATTTTATCACACAACCTATATTCTTTATGGGCCTATTATTTTCTTCCATTTCCATTATATCATTCCCTGTTACACTCCAGTTGCTTTATTTATTCAAGTCTTATTGTTGGAATTTACAGATACTCTTTATTACTTGCATCATCCACAAACATGATCATATAGCTACTTATTACTTATGGTAAGCACTAATTCCTGTGGCAACCAGCTAGTTACATTTTATCTTGTGTCACTATTCATATTTTTCTTTCAAACATAATCTCTATTGTACCGTATATAGTTGTTTCCCTTTTATTTCTCCTATGATTTAGAGTTTCCTCATTACCATAATTTCAAGTTTATATATAATGGATACTCTGTGTATGTGTGTGTGTGTAATAATATTTATTTATAATCATATTAGTACTATACAGTACTGCATAGTTATCCATTTCGCTTGTTTTACAAGCATATTAAAACAATTTTTTTTCAGTCGCGACCCGATATGCCCATGGAGGACACTGTTAGCTTACAGGTGTCACTAGTCAATTTGGCTCAGAAGTGCTATCCAGATGAAATAGAATATGTTGACAAAGTGTTACAGAACACATTGGAAGTGTTCCAGAAATTAAATATTGATAAGTAAGTAAATGTTATTCTCTGTAATCATTTGGGGTAAGTTTGAACTGTGTTGTCAACATATGTGAGTTCTATTTGTTTTTAAAGGCTGAAAAATATTCAGATAGGATTGGGGTGATTAACATTTAAAAAAGTTAATTAAACTTTTCACATGATAAGAATGACAGTCATGTTTGGGTGTCTAAAGCATTCATCTATGGTTTCTAAAGCATTCAGCTGTGGATTCATATCTTGCTCTGCAGCTTTTGTTATTATATATACACCAGGCTTGTGCATGACTGTTAATGCATGAAAATATGCATGCAAGCATGATACCTGTTAGGTTTAGAAACAGTGTCCAGGAGTTGAATATTACTATTGATAATATGTGTTCTGAAGGATTGGAAAGACATGAAATAAACTTAAGCCATAAGAAGAGGATGGCAGAATGTGTTGGGTCACACTTCTTTTACAGAGACTATGTCACTACTAAAATCAATGTTATTTTTTCTTCAGTTAATAAGTACAGGCAGCACCTCACATATAGTTTGGCCATGCTTACCACAGCTAGTGAAGCAACAAGCGCTGCACTTGATGGAGTCATACAAAACATCTCTTTCTAGCAAATATAATTTTTTTTGTTTAGGTTATAAGAACAACATAGTAATGTACAGCTTGCCTCACATTCTGGCAGCCCTAACTTCCTAAAGTTAAATATGCCTTTTTAAGTTAATGCTTCTGGCTTCTAGTTAGTCAGAACTAAACTTGCTCTCCTTTAAGGGCATACCATCCTGTTCATAAACACAGTGAAGGTACATTTGGGCCTCTGATGACAACATAATTAATTTCAGTTTCCCCTCAATCCAGATGTTCAGCCATTTTTGTTGTTGGGCAGCACAGACTGCATACAAATATATAATTATTGACTCGGTGTCACTAACATCAGACATAGGCTTGTATCATTTCAGTGCTCCTTCTAAATGTGTAGATGTTTACAAGATTCACTCAGCTTTCTCACTTGTTCATTTGGTGTTCATCTAACATTTCTGTTTTCTCAAGCATACTCAAAGATGCTCTCTCTGCCTTCTGCAGTCTTAATTAATGGGTGGTGATGAGAAAGGAAAGAAGGAAGGAAGACCAATTCCATTAGTTTGTCGCACGAAAGGTTATGAACTCAAATCGTACTGAGATGGCCTTCTGAGATGTGGATGGGTGCTTCTGTGGGTCACAGTTACACCATCTGGATAGCATACATAACTCAGAGTTTCCCTATTGTCTTTTGATAAAATCATGCAATTTCAATATATTATATTGAAAAAAGTAAAGATTTACAAGAATTTACTATAAAATAAACTTTAAAATCAGTGCTAGGTATGTGAGTTACCTCTTTATTTTTAATTTACTAATCATAAATAGTAATCTATTACTAAATTTAAAAAGGATGTTTCTTTTTTTGGGCCACCCTGTCTTGGTGGAATATGGCCGGTTTGTTAAAAAAAGTAGTAATCTCTTAATTTGTGAAGTAAGCAATCCTAGAGGTCCCAATTAATCTAGAAATTTTGAAAATAGGACCACCATGTACTCATAAGATGCAAAGTAGGCATTCTTTTTCCTATAAAAATTCTTCCCTTCAAAATAATATTATTTGAGGGAAATATTTAATATTTAATTGCATATAACATTCTACATTTTTGTTATTTATGTGCCTGTGATTTTAACCCTGGTGTAAAAGGAGTTCAGACTTTTGATACTTGTTAGATAGTACTTGAGACTTGAAAAATATGTACTTGGGATGTGCCACATTGACTGCAGTATCATCTTTTGGCCACTTGCCTGATAGAATGATATACCACTACCAGATGTGTAATTACGAAAATGGTATACAATATTGACAAGTAGATGAGCAAGAGACATGTGGAACAGTTGAATATCTTTACTGTTGAAATATTTTGCCTATATGGTAGGATTCTTCAGTCAATACAGAGGAGAATAAATATGGAAACAGCAGTAGTAGTGGTGAGGTAAAGATAATGTAATCAGTCCATCTACCTTGAAGTAGTTTGTGAGGTGGTCAGTTCCTCAGCCTGGGGAAGAGCTTATCTCCATAGTCCAGAACAATGTGAAACTGAAGCATGAGAATAGAGCCTTGTATACTGCTAAAGGTAAGGTGTGGAAAGTCTCAAAAACATTGCTGGAGGCAGGACCCATCAGTAGAAGCAAGAAAGTGAAAATTGAGGAGCACTTCAGCTAGCCTACTGGCCCATGGTAAGCAGATCTCTCTCAAATCCAACCCTTCTCACTTATAACTAGCAGTTAAGTAATAAAGTTATGGAAGATGTCCTCTGTGCCAAGATATCATTGTGTTACTATGTCAAGGTGGTATAATTATGAAAATTGTGTACACTACTGACAGGTAAATGAGTAAGACACTTGGGCAACAGTTGGCTATTTTTGTTTAATTGCTTTGCTGACAAGGATAACTTCTTCAGTCAAGTACAGAGGAGAATAAATATTGTTTGATCACTTGTTATAAGTGAGAAGGGTTGAATTTGAGAGGGATCTGCTTAGATAGAACTGCTAGGCTTGCTGCAGTGCTCTTCAGTTCATACCTTCTTGTTTCTACTGGTGGGCCCCACCTCTTGCAATGTCTTGGAGACTTTCCATACCTCACCTTTAACACTATATAAGGCTCCATTTTCATGCTTCAGCTTCACATTGTTCCAGACTATGGAGCTGAACATTTTTTCAGGCTGAGGAGCTGACCACATCACAAACTACTACTAAAAAGTTGATGGACTGATCATATATCTTTATCTCGCTACTACTGGTGTGCCCATATTTATTCTTCTCAGTATCTGACTGAAGAAGCCTACCGAGCAGGAGAAATGTTTCAAGAATTAAGATACTGAACTGTTGCACATGTGTTTTACTCAACTGTTGCACTTGTGTGAAAAGCCTTCTGATGATAGAATGTCTCCTCTGGAATATTTATCATCTCTTAAAAAAAAAAAATCTTTGTTAGAGATTTGGGCAGTGAAAGCAAAGTGTACTCACAGTAGCCCCTTCTTCACTACTGCCACCCTACTAATATCCTGTACAGATGGCTACCAAGAGCACTGCAATAATATGACAATATTTGACTAGATTATTATTAGATTTTGCAAATTTGGATTTGTTAGGATTCTTAGAGGTTTTACATTTTGCATTATTATGAGAGTTTAAAAATGAATTACCAGAACTTTCATTTTAGTCACTGAACTGTAGCTACAGTATAACTATTTTTTTTTATTTAGTATCAATGAAATCACACCCTAGAATTGCTTACATGTAAGTCTAAGATAAATCTATTGCAGAAATTTGAGGTTTATGAGGCTGATTGTCTTGGAAAAAGCTTACAGGGAAGTAGCTAGCCTTTGTAGATTGATGGTTTCAGCAGTGACTACATGTAGAGCACAGCTTGTGCTGGAAACAAATTAAAGCTTAATTCAGAAATTCTCAAGTTGAAAACACATTGCAAAGCTTTGCCATTCTACCAATTGAAAAAGAATTATTGCAAAATCTTCAGAACAAGCCAGAATTTTACAGGAAAGTTTCTGATCATTTGCTCAAAAATCGTGACAAATTCCATCAGACTATGAATCGGTAAACTAAAAAATATTAACTGATGTTCACATTTCAGTTTCGTCAAAAAGCTAAAAGGTGTCATTTGCTTAGCCTGGCAAATTTTAATAACACACCATTGAATACTGTTAAATAATCTATTACATCCCCAAATCCTGAAGTGTCTCCTGGTGTCAAAAAAATTTTGGAAAAAAAAAAAATTATTTTTTCCTATGAAATGATAGAGAATCTTTTCCCAAAAGTATGAAATTTGACCGAAAACTTACGGAATTACACTCCCGCAAAGTTAGCGATCTTGACGATCTATGTATACGCATCAGCGATTTCGCCAACTTTGAGCCCTATTTTCGGCCAATTCCATTGTTCCAGTTGACCAAACTCAACTATTTCTTTAGAACTCCATTTTTTCTATCAATTGAGTACAAGAAACTGTCCATTTTCTGATTTCAACTACCCAACAAAGTGGTCAGAAATTGGCAATTTGGCCAATTTCACACAAATTAAAAAAGATGCCAATTTCAAAATAGGGTCCAGAATAAACAATGCAGACATTCTTGGCACTAAAATAACATATGCTCTGTTCATTAGTCACGTCTCCAGGCCCCTCTTATATTACTCTTTCTTTCTATTTTGATTTTTTATTCACACAAAAAATAGAAGATTTACTGTTATGCAGACTACTGCATTATTGTGAAAATGGTATAAATAATACCAGTGCACTAGTGAAAGAATATTAGACTCCCCAGTTGATGTGTATTGGATGTGTGGTGTGATTTGCTTACTCTTGAACATTGGTAAAAATCAAACATTCCTGCTACTTTGAACTCAATTTCAAGGTCATTTTCATCGTGAAACTAATCAAAATCATCTCTATTTCCGTAATATGTTTTCCATTCTATCAAATGAGATCAAGAAAACGAGAATACAACCATAAATACTATAGGAAAATGCACCTCAAAGTCGGCGTTTTAATCCAAAAACACGGTCAGAGTTTTTTTTTTATCTCATGCACTGCGTGCTGCAGGATTTTTTTTATACGGTGCACACTGACCACACAGACCCATTCTCTCACATGTGGGCCTACCAGCTTTCTCCTGCTTGATTTGAAGCCGTTAGAATTATTGAGTATACAGTGGAACCTCTACTTGCGAGCGTGTCCATGTGTGAGTTTTTCCAAATACGAGTAGTTGTGGGTCTTTTTTTGTTTCCCATGCGCGAGCAAAATTTCCAAAATGACGACCCAAGGCAGGTTCCTTGCCCCCTGCTCTTGATCTGGGGAAATTTTGTATCCATTTGTTTGTTGGACTATCTTTTAAAAACTTGGGCAATTTTATGAGGGAAAGATGCTTCTTAACTATACCAAAAAGAAAGAAACAAGAAAAATAATGAGTTTCATTTTTCAGAATTAGCCCCCCCTTAGCG